CATATATTCCTCACACGGGTACTTGTGAAATTTTATTTAATAGTCTTAATTCCCCATTGGATAAATATGTTTTTGCTGGAAAATTTGAAACAAATCAAAGTGGTGTACTCAATATATCAGTCGAAAATTATAATGGTACTACCGCAAAAAGGATATGGTATCATGTACGAACTTCAAAGTTAAAGTCAAGTAATTTATTTGAAGGAATATTCAAAAATACTTGGCAAAAATGTAATTACGAACATTTAAGTATAGATCATGTAACACGAATTCTTACTGATGTATTTGATTACATTGATAAATTATTAAATGGTTCTATTAATGCATCAAAACTATTAAAACTACAGTCTGTAAATTTTGATGATATGAACATACGTCATGAAGTTACGAAGCTTCTTAGTAGTACTACTGGTCAATTAAACACGAATGAAAATCAAATTGATCAAGTATGTGAATATCTTCAAATGCATCAGTATTATAGTTTTATACCAACACTTTTAAACTGTATAACTACCTTTAATATTATTAACGAACATGATGATGTTCTTATTAATTTAAACACATTGATTAATGAAAACAGAAACACTCTAAATGATATATCTGCCATAAATAAAACTTTAACGGACGTCTTCAATGGATTACATAATCAACATATGGAATTAATTAAAACAGTTTTAAATTGTTCATCACTTATAATTATGTTAAAAAAGTATGATTTATATAGTCAATTTGGTCAACGTCGTTTTCTTGAATTAAGAGATAATTTAACAGCACAATTTCAGTTGCAAGAACGTAATAATCTTGTACTTAATGCATTCATCATTCTTCACACTGTGTGTGAACCATTTTGTATCAAAGCAAATTCATTAGAACAATTTCTTTCTCGATTGTACAAATTGGATAATGCCGATGAAGCATTAATTCAAATAGAAATTTGCTACAAAAATAATCAGATGATTAATATTTGGTTATCGAGTGATGTGAGCACATTAGAAAATTCTATCATCATAATGGAACATCTATATAAAACTGGTATAATACACGTACATCTTCAACACCTCATTAATCGTGAATCATATTTTGAAATACAATATCATTTAGAAAAGACAACTGAAGCTCATAATGAACTGGAAATTGATGAGCAACAAACAACGATGAAAAAAACAAATCATATTATGACAATGTCTGATTTTGCTGATCACAAGCGTCAACTTACATTTTGTAATGTGGATTTGATTGATATATCTGAGAAGAGAATTATGCTGTTGGAACAGTTGAAATTGTTTAATACAATAGAAACATTATTTTCAATTCTAACAAAATTAGAAAATTATGGTCATCCACATTATCAACATACAACAAAAACGTATATCATCGGCGATGAATCAAAAGGATTAGCTTATCTGTTACAAAGTTTAAAAGATTTTAATCGATCTACACTTATCTACTACAGTATTGATAATCAAGATGAATATTTTACAATGAAACAAGATGAACTAAAACTATGTCTTGAAAGTTGGACTAAAAAGTTTGAATCAATATCTGTTACATCACAATACACACTTGATGAATGGATTCGAATACTCAATCAATATAGATTTTCCAATAAATGGCTTTATCTCTTATCAAATCGTCAAATAATGATTATGTCAACATTATTAACATCAAATCAATCTCGACGACAATTTTTATCAGAGATTTATAAAAATTATAATTGGAATGAAAAACCTGAACAAATGGATGATCGAGAACAAAATTTAGTGATTGAATTTATTGGTCATTATTTAAGACTAATACGAGTTATCAGTTATCAACCAGAAACGACTGATATGAGAACTCGAACTCGTATTAAAAATCTACTCAAAGAATGTTATAGTCACACCGATACTACTGGTGAAGATCGTTTAAAGAAAATATGTGATTTTATTAATGGAGCTTTATTATCTAATGTTGAACAAAGTATGTCAAATTTCGAAGGAGATTCTATCAGTAACAGAAGTAATAATTCAACGACTACAACAGCTAAAGAACAATACCTAATTACATTACTTCGAAAGACAAATCATGACTCGTTGTTAACAAAAGTTGATAATTGCTTGGATTTTGAAACATTGAGTATTGTCTTTACTCTTTACAATAACGAATTACCAGCTGCTTTTCAAATTCTTTGGTGTACAACAGCAACAGAAGAAGATATTTTGTTATTCTTTAAACGAGTTCGTACATTTATAAACAAAATTTTCATTGTTCTTGATATTGACAAAATGTCTCATCGTACACGTGATATATTATTGCAAGAACAAAATGAATTGTCAAGAAGATCCGAGCGTCATGCACAAGTTTACTATTTTTCATACTCTTTGACTTGTAGGAAGGGTATGCGACAATGGTTTTCTGCACAATCACATGAGCCTAGAACAGTGAAATCAATACTAAACCGAAATTATTTAGTGACTCCTTATATCAGACCTAATATTGCTGTTATTATCGGAAAATCGAGCATTGGTAAGTGTTCTATTGTTTATAGTTGCCCAGATATTGTTGTTACATCCTAAAGAAAGCATGTATGGATTTACAAGGATGTATGCCTAAACCTTTTCCTTAACGTAAACAGACCAGATTATCGGTATTAGAATAAATTATAATATTTTATTCTCTCTTTTGGACTCGATTTCACTTGTAATTCTGTATAACCATTGTAAAGCTAATACCTTGATGTTTAGGAACATTTTCAACTGCCGAGCGCTTTTTCCTTGAGACATACTTGATTGCAGCTAATGTTTGAAATTGATGAGGAATCTGATATAGTATGGCAAATATTGTATTTAGATGCATCAACTATTGTTAGATACAAGTGAAATTGCCACACAGAAAATCAGTAGTGTTTTCTTTCTTAATATAGGTAAAACGCACAAAATTCGCATGGAACTACGGAAACAAAATGCTATTTCCGTCAGTATTAATGATAGCATTAACTTGTCAAAATTAACAAGTACATTAATAGCATCTTCACTTGTTACTAACGAAGAAATCATAATCTACTTCAACATTTCGAGTCATGCACCATTCGATGAACTAAACCGCATATTCTTTTCCTTGTTTGTATGCGGAACATTAATGGATCCAGATACTGGCATCGTATTTTCTTTATCGGAAAATGCAAAATATAAATTTATTATTGAAATACCTTATGTTGATAGTACGCACTTATCCGTAGCAAAAAGTTTCGAACAGACACTTCCTCTGTTATCATTATTGTGTTCAACTAATATCGAAGAAATCAATGACGATAATTACGAATTACATATTGGAAAAAACGAAGAATTGGTTGCTCGTTTCTTAAAAGCATTTTATGATAAGAATATTGATCAGATATCAGTCAATGATGAACCGATCGTATTTCCAATGCTACGTGATCTCCAAGACTGTCGTACACAAATATACAGAGCAATGGATGGGTTCAACGATAATAAAATATTTATACGAAGTTTTGTACAATTTCTGTCTCGTCGTTTTCAATTTTTTCTTACACAATTCTATCAGCTTAATACAGAGCGACCAAATCTTGGCTCAATAGTTATTCGACAAATGATAGAAGAAGCAAAAAGTCTCGTACACATTGATTTCAAAGATGAAAATTTTCGAAAAGTTTATTTAATTTATGATCCAGGTTTTTCACTACAACTACTTCATACAAACTGGACTATGGTACCTGAACAAATAAAACAATTATTCAGACATAATGATCCTTTGACACGAGAACTTTATATCGGTAAAGATCCATTTCCAATACTGCTTTCTTGGTTATTGAATATATCTCCAAGTTATTTCTTCGATTTATTAGACAAGACAAAATTTGTATTAACAGAAATTCTTGCGTATAAGTTATTTCATCTGCATGAAAGAAAGTTAACACGCATGCCGCTTATTATTGAGGGGGATACTGGTAAGCAAACAGACTTCAGCATATGTGATTTTAATGAATATTTAAATTCTTTTTTGTTACTTTAGGTGTGGGGAAAACGTTTTTGTTACACTTTTACTCGTTGTTGTTAAATTCAAGACTTATGAATGATCGAGATCTCGATATCGCTCCATGTCTGCTAGAAAAAACAAACTTGTGGTTGTTAAAAGATGTTCTTGAAAAACTTGATACAACAATTGTTAGAGGAATAGTACGAGTATTTAAACCGCATATTATATTTAATCAAATCACCGAAAATGAACTAAGAGTGATGAATACAACCGTCGATAATTTTACTGACGTTGAAATTAATTTGAAAAGTTTGGATGAAGGTATAAATGTAAATGAAGGCAGCATTACAGAGAATATGAATCAGATCAAAATCTCTTTGCAAAACTTCTTGTACTCTGCAGGAGATCTGCAGAAGCTTTGGAAAGTTATTCTTTTAGTAACAGAATATTATGAATCAAGCAATACATATTGTGCCAATACTATTGATGATGGTGATTCGTCTACACTGTTGGATACATTAATGTCAGATTTACGTAAACATATTGAATTAAGGCTGTCATCGACACACCTTCTCATGGGCAGTTCATATTTACATCAGTTGGTGACAGAGAAGGATGTAAAACTAAATATCAAAACAAGCATCGAAATGTTCAATGAATTTATTTCACGTACAACTGTGAAACCATTATTCTATCGGTTACTTCTACATCCAGGTATAACGGAACAGAAGTTAAAGCACTTTATGCAGCCAATAATTACTCTTGGAAGACAATTGAATTCTGCTGAATTGGTTGTTTTTTTTGATGAAGTTAATACATCATCTTGATTAGGTTTGTTTAAAGAAATGTTTATGGACAGATCTCTAGATGGTCATCCGTTACCCGACAACATTTTTTTCACGGCTGCTATTAATCCATACAATACAAACAATACAGATCAAATAACAATTGACAATACATCCGCGATTCATCGATCAGATTATTTGGTAAATGAATTACCAGTCGCATTACAATATTTAAAATGTGCATACTCAGCCCTTCCACCATCTCAATTGGAGGTATACGTTCAACGGAAAATTACCTTGTTCAACACAGAAATCACTGGGAACGAGAATCTTAGAGAACACTTAGAAAAAATTTTACGCAACGCCATATTATTTGCTCAAAACTTTTGTTCTGAACGATTAAGTAAAAACTCTGTTAGCCAACGTGAAATTGAACGATGTTTTCACATAATCAATTTTTTCTGGTCAACAGGTGATAATATCACAGACACTCGTCACAGGCTACGTCGAAGTATAATATTAGCTGTCGCTCTGGTCTATTATCTTCGTTTACCCACAACAGAAGATCGACAACAACAAAATTTAAGTGGACCAACCAGAGAAGACTTTTCCAACGATATTTCGCGTCTAATACCTAATTTTGGAAAAATTGTTCAGCAAGAACTGGAAAGTTTTGTTACAACAGAAAATTTTCTTTTCCCACCTGGAGTGGCATTAAATCAGGCTGTCCGAGAACATATTTTTGCTATTGTTGTTAGTATAGCAAACAAAATTCCGCTATGTATTATCGGTGCACCAGGGCAATCAAAAACGCTTAGTTTTCAAATTGTTTTACAAAATCTTCAAGGAACACAACTTTCACCAAAACAGTTTTGCACCAAGTTCCCATCAGTTGATGCTTTTTTTTGTTTGGGCTCCAAATACAGTCGTCCAGAAGATATAGCTGCAGTTTTTGAACGTGCTATCCGACGTGAACAACATTATGACCAAAATCGAATAAATACAAGGTGTGTGGTATTTTTGGATGAAGCTGGACTACCTGATGAGAAAAAAATGGTTCTAAAAGTATTGCATCCGTATTTAGATGAATGTAAAGTTGCATTTATTGCCGTCTCAAATAAATTGTTCGACGCAGCAAATGCAAATCGAATGATGTGTGTATTCCGCTCGTTACCTTCAAAACAAGATCAGCTTACTCTAGCATTTGGATGTCTTGGAGTACAATATCCTCATAATGGTGTCGATGATCGTATAGAAAAAATCGTTGCCGGTCTTTGTACAGCATATCGTCAAGTACTTAAATCTGAAGCAATTCCAAATATATTTCATGATCGAGATTTTATTTATTTGTGCCGAGAATTACGTTTCGAACTGAATAGTAGTATTTTAGATGCAAACACTGATACTGAAATTTGGTCATCTAGTCAAAATCGAAACAGTTCAAATAGTATTTTTCGTTCTTTCCCTTCAATCAGTTTGTTACGTGCTTTAGAAAACAACTTCAATGGTATATCTCAGGAACAATTCAGAAAATTAGTAGATATTTTCTTTAAATGTATAACCGAAGAATGTGGTGTTGTTTTATTATCGCCAAAAGAAACAGATTATCGTAATGTAATTACAGTGTTACGTGAAGCCATGCAACTCGAATCAAGCCGACGACGTTTATACGGTCGGTATAAATTAATTATTGACGAAAGTGAAGATGAGTCAGTTGCACGTTTATTATTTGAAGTTGGCATTCTTAATTCAAATGCTGAAGACACAGTAATATTTCGCATGTCCGATTTCGAAGCAGATATTGATAATGAATTAAAGAATGTCGAATTATTATCAACAATCAAACTGTGCATGGAAATAGGAAAAACAATACTAATGATTAATACTGGTCGTATACATGGCGCATTGTATGATGTATTCAATCAAAACTTCAGTATTATGGCTACTGGTGATGAACGAAAAATATTTTCTAAAGTAGCTATTGGTGCCCAAACAGTCGATTGTGTTGTGCATGAACAATTTCAGTGTATCGTCTATATAAAACGATCCGGATTACGTGAAACGCCGGCACCATTTCTAAGTCGATTTCAAAAATATTCATTTGGCATTAGTGATTTTTTTAATATTCAGCTTCAAAAATTACCACCAGCGTCACAACAACTCTTGAGAAATGTTGAATCAAAAGCCTTATCGTTTGTGCATCACTTTGATAAACAGTATTTCTATGGTTTTACTGACAATACATTGTACTCCATTATGTTGACACTTATCAAAAGCATAAAATCTCAGTCTATTCAAGCAACTACATCATATAATCCACAAGCTGATGACGATAACAACAGTCAGTCTTCTACAACAAACCAACGGCAATTACAAACAAGTGAAAAACCTGTACCAACCTACGATACCGAATTGAAAACATTCTTGAATACACGTCATTACACTCAGCTAACAATTAAATCCAAACGGGTTATTGAGGAAGATCCGTTAAATGTACAACAATGCTTGTTACGTGCAGTTATATCAAAGTTAATTCAACTTGTAACTCCTGAAGCTCTCATTTTAAAATTACCATCCTTTGAAAACTCTGTATCAAAATGGATATCTAAAGATTATTTTTGCAACCAAGAACATTTTAGTCTTTATAATTTTGTTCGATTACTTTTATCTTCATCAGACCAGATAGATGAGTCATGTTATGTTCAGTCGAGCAATCCCCTAAACACATCAGCTAAAATAACAATATTTACACGAACAACTGCCTACATAGATGGTTTAAATCAATCTTCAAAAATTGATTTATTCGGTGATTATAGTAAACGGATAGATGTATTAAATGTGGCATCAATAGATAATGCAAAGGATTTAACAAGAGCATTAGACAATTTTAATAATGATATTGCCAAAGATATCTTTTTAATTGTTATAAATGGACGAAGTAATGCTCAAAAACAGCACATAGCTTTCGTACGAGAATCAGTTGATAAATTTGAAGATAGTGCAAATTCCACTCGTAATAGTTCTAGAACACAATCGGTACGTCCAAGATTTCTTTTTGATAATCACCAACAACAGCAGCAATCACAACTTAAACCTAAATATTTTCTTTTATTATTGCATGTACCATCACAAGAATTGTACCATCATTCTTGTTGTTCAAGTATTTATTTACACGATTGGGAGTTTTATTTTTTTGATACTTGTACATCAGGAAAAGAAATTCATTTACAAAAAATGTGCTGGACACTATGTTTAACAGATGAAAGATCTATAGAAAATAATGAAGATGATGATAAAAATATGCTTGGTGATTTTGATAATTTATTTGAAGAAGCATTATGGAATTTTTGTAGTCGAATGCCAAAATGTATACATGACCCGCCAACAAGCATAATACAAAACCCCAATGTTGATGAATTCTATGAAAAAAACATTAGTCTCACTAAGCGCGTACACTATCTAAAAGAGATAATAAAAATTTGTTCTGAGTTGCAAGAAAATCTTGTTAGTACATATCATAAACGTATGGCAAAAAACAATCAAACAATGTATAACACAATCTATCAAATTGCAAAGCAGATTCTATGTGGACAACGATATGATGGTCTTGTAAGTTCACTTAGGACAGAAATAGCCAATTCATTTACTAACTATGTTGGCTTTATTTTATGTCATATTGTTAGCGATTATGGTTTATATGCAATTTCAAAAACACCACATAATTATAAATTGATGGCTGATCTCATTGATTACTCATTTTTGGAATCAAATGACGCTAATGACATGAATTCATGTTTACCAGTGCTGCATCAGTATTCGTGTGTTCCGAGAACACTTTTGTACTCCTTATTTCATGCACGTATCAAGTTTCATGCAGATAAGTTCAAAATGGCAGATGATATTCAAAACTCAGGTAAGATTATTAAGGTCAAACTAAGATAGGTCTTATTTTACCCTTAAAAGGAGGAAAATCTACGCTTTATTCATTGTTAATCATAGAATGTATGATAAAACTTTAAATTTGATCATTTTTTAAAGCCAAATAAATGTTTGTACTTTCAGAATTTTGAAAGTGAATTCTAAAAATTTTAATAAATATTTGCTTGACATTGTTTTATTCTTGTGTAGTCGACTCTTTTCCCTTTCGGATTGTGTACGAGAGGCTCCTACCAGACAAAAAAAATGTCTTAAAACACAAGAATATGTTACTATCGTTGATACAAGCAATGCACTCGGTTTTTTTTGAATAACTTTCGAACAAAAGTTGAGAAGTCTTGCTTTCGCTATTTCGAATAAAAGCCTGGACTAATCCATCCCTACAAAAACTAAAGCCCTAGCACCATTTACACGTGATCTGTCTCATCGAATAAAATCAAAGGAACTACTATTAAAAAAATTTCAGTTACCATTATGGCGAAGACCTAAGTTTTTACTTCGAAATAGGAAAAAACAGACTTCTTTATCAACTTTTGTTCATTCAAAAGAAACTGAGTGCATTGCTTATGTCAACCGTAGTAATCGGATGAACGTGTATTTGACTTGCTGTTACGCATTTATCATTTAGACAATCTACTAGAAAATGATGATCAGTGTTTATTTTACAATCAGTTAACAACAACAATGTCTATGGATCAAAAAAATAAGGTTAATACAATTCAATACACAAATATAAAATTTCGTGATTGGCTTTATCGAGCAATCGTAGAGGACGAAATTGTTAGCGACATAATAAAGAACTTAAACGGAGACTTGATCAACTCTTATTCATTTGACTTGGTCAATATATATTGTAGCATATTCGAAAGCGAAAACGATGATGTTAGAGAACACGAAGATGCAATTGAATTTGTTTCGAAATGGTTACAACTAACTGATCAATATGACCGTTCTATGAACGCAAACAATGATAGCATCTTTCTATTATCTCATGTATACGCATCATTTGAATATAATAAAAATCATTTAATTTCGTTATATGTTGCTTGTCGTGTACTCAAACAATTAAATGCAACACTTCTTAAATCAACTTTATATAACGAAGGTATGAAACGACTACAATTTGAAGAAAATATATTTTATGAAATGTTTGAATATTTATGGAAAACATTAATAGAATTACGTCAGAGTCCTGGAGAATATTTAATATGGCTTCAAAGTTATTTATTTATTTCACGCTATTACCCATCGGAAAAAGTTCTTCATAGTACACAATTACATACTATTAAATCACAAATTGAAGTTATGCATTTATGTTATCTTATTTTCATAAATGAAAAAACTCCATCCCCAGTTGATTTAATTCTTACTGTTTTACAGGAACATTCATCAAATATACTGTTTGAAGAGGGATGTTTAAATGCAATGCCTCTTATAATACCGATGATAACAAAATATTTCTGTTCAAAGTCACTGTTACAAGATTCTGTTACATTATTATTTGATGTTATGCAATGGATACTTTCTTTATTAACGACTAAAGCCGCACTTCTAGGGGAAGACATAGTCAATGATATTGAAAATGTAATGAAAATTCTAAATGAATCTAACCAATTAGACTTCTCATTTAAACAATTTCTGTTTGATAAAACTTCTCATATCATTGTGAACCATATGGATAAGCAAGATATACATTATGAGCATCGGTGTCCACATCAAATACTAAGTATATTATTACCAATTGTAGTCAAATGTTTGTCACTTTCATTTACTGAAGTGGATACAAATGGATTCTCTTATATACCACCCTACCATCCATTCGTAATTGTATCCGATGGTATTAACATCAATACATTACAGCAACAGTCGTTAATTAATTTACTTTTCTTCCACATTCGAAATCATTTAAATAATTATAGTTTCAAATGTGACTTTGTTGATTTATTAATGAACCATACTACTTCACCAATGACAAATATCGTAGCTCATAATACTGTGATAGCAACAATATACGAATCAATTAAAACATATTTAATAATTGAATGTACAGCTTGTTTACTCTGTGAAAATGATTATGATGATGATTCTGTCGAATGGTCTGACTCTATTAGATGTTTTTTGCGCGTGTATGTTCCTATCTCAAAACAACAAAATGCTTTTGACCATAATATGAAACAGTTTTTATCGACAATTCTACGGAAACGTGATTGGAATTATCTTATAAATTTGTTACAATCTAATTTTTTACGCACAATTCATAATGAATGGTCAACAAAAATATCTGAACTGCTTAGTAACATTCAAAAGTTAAGAAGAAATGAGGAACGTTTGCACGTGTATGATCAACTGGAGTTTACTTTATCGACTAATGCACCGAGTTGTTCTGCATTTTCTAAGTTACATCAACCGTATACAAATATCAGTAAAATATTTGACGAATGTGCAAACAATAAAAGTGAAAGCGATAACTGGACACCATTATTCACATGGTGTCTCGAGCAATTATCGCTTGAAGATGAACCGCTATTTCCAAATGAGATAAAGATGATGCTGTTTTTAAAAATTTATTATGATTATTATTGTCACGAAAATATTTTAAGTTTGTCCAATCTCGTAGAATCATTACAAAGTGTACAACAACTCGAGCTCATCGAAGAAGAACTACGTGTGTTTAAAGCAATATTAATGCCAGAAACCTACATGATTGGTTACAATGATCACGAAGAAGAAACTAATGCATTAAATGAATTGTTTAAACTAACTTTTACATCAGAAGATGAATTATGTATTCGACATGCTCTATTCAATTTAATGGCTGTAATTCTTTTGACAGGTGAAGAGTCATTTCTTTGGACATTTGCATTTGAACCAAATAAATTGTATAAAACATACGGTTTTGGGTCAACAGCAAGTAATGGCATCATGGAACATAATGTTCATTATGACTGTGGATGTATACTAAGTGAAAATGGTGATCTTATCCATTTTTCCACTACAAATACTCCTGTAATTACCGTGCCCACCGTATACGTCGCTTATTTTTCTACATTCGGTGCAATGGCATGGCATTTATTATTATATCCAAATTCTGTTCAGCAACTGAATGGACCCATTTTAACTTCGACAGCTATTGATTCAGATGTAGAAGCTCGTTTTCGAATTGCTGGCACTTCTGTGCGTACACGTACTTGCCATTTTGTTCGTGCACGTCTTCTAGCCACAATGTCGTTCTTATCAATATATTCTAATCGCAACGATGCACGTCTATTACTAAATCGATGTTTTGAACAATTTGCATTCTTAATTGTTGAAAATCAATCGGACTGGATTAAACCAATTTATTCAACATTAGAAGATGTTCGTAAAGCAGAAGAAGAATTTCAAAAAGAAGTATTTTATCATGTTCATGGAAAATTAGGAGAGCATAATGCTTATGTAAATCGATTGCTTTTGCAATCAAGTATTCAAATAGATTTACAAGATTATATGAATAAATTACCTGTGCCAGTTAGATATAGGGACTTTACTACTCAGCTTAATAGACAACAGAAAGATGACGGTACTCCATTATCTTTGCTCAAAACATTTTTGAACTCACGTGATAGCCTAAAAATATCAGTATTAGTCTATGATTTAGGTCGATTTTATATTCTAATTCATCAAACATTCAGTCAACTAATTAATGAAAAAGACTTTCAGAACATCTCATTAGAAGAGTTTCTTGTTATTGGTAAAAAACGATTTAAACAAAATGAAAAAGTTTATGACGAAATTGTTGCTAAGGGCATTGAAGCTTTAAACCGTTATCATTCATTCACAAATGGCTATATTCAACCTGGACCATGTAATTTAACTCAACAATTTCCAGAAATTACACTTACAAGTTCATTAAATTATTTAACAACAATGCGAAATAGTGACGAAAATGACATTATAATGCGTATTCTTCTTATTCTTGCTGATTTTAATAATAATCTATTAAACATGTTAGAACAGGATATGGACAAAATGTACGAAGTAGATAGTATATTGAAAAAATTACTTGATACGTTTAATAAAAAAACAGTATCTATATTACAAATTACTAACAATCTGAATGTCACTGGTATAATTTCCCTTAATGATCAAGGTAGTATGGAGATTGAACGATTAGCACTTGCCTCATTATGTTCAACTACAAACAAAGGATATTATCCAAGTACAGATGAACAATTAAATTTCGATTTCACTTATGTACAATCTTACCTTGTACGACGTTATTTACTTGGTCACGCCAGAATTGATTATCGGCGTATACATCACAGATATTTATGTTATATTGATGATAAACGAAAAGCTAATGGAAAAGAACTGTATACGATAGGTGGCTTATTTTCGTCTGTTTTGAGTACTCAACAATTAGAAAATGAGTGGAATGATCTACATTTACTTATGCTGGACAAATTGTATGATGGACTTAATAGTTTAAAACAAGTTGCGTTAATGATTAAAGATGTATTAAAACAAACAGAAATGGGCAGTACAGGTGATATTCAACAAAAAATTAATCATACAAGTCAACAATTAGCATCAATGAATGTGTATGAATTTATTGTACATCATGCACAAGTAGAAACACATTTGGTAGAAATGTTACAAAAATGTGAAATAAAAGATTTTCCACTATGTTATATTGATAACATACGAGAGTTATTTGAAAAACAAATTGGTAGTTTTGAACACTTATTTACAGATATTCCAGAATTATTGCGTATTCCAGCATCAGACGAACTAAGACAAATTTTGTCGAATAATTTTGATGACATTGGTCCGGATGTTAAATCAAATATACAAACAATAACTAGTCTATTAGATGATTTAAAGCAAATACAAGAAATTTTATTACAACAATCATCGAAATCGCTTGTAGAAGTTTGTGAGATAATGAGTATAGATAATCCACTATTAACATTTATACCACCTGATATTAAATGTGAAAATTATTTAGCAATATGCATATTTTTCATTCAACAACGTTCAAAATTACAACAGTACGTTATTGATAGAGATGAGAAACGTTTTCAAGTTTCCTTAGAAATGTGGTATGAAAATGATACTGACATTCCAAAAAACGAAATGAATCATTTTGCCAAGTTCTTAGAGCAAGAGGAAATAATGGTTAATTCAGATAATAATTCAAACGATTATTTGATTAATTTTAGTTTATACGAAGGTAAAACTATGAATAATGTGACCGTTGAAGAACGAAAAAGTTGGAGAAACTATATGGACGCTAAACAAGACGAAGACAAAACTCATCCAAATGAAATTCAGATTATTCCTCTTCGTACAGAAAACAGTAAGCCAAAATTTACACCTGTTTCTACTATAAATTCTTTATTTGAAATATGTTTGAAATCAATCAGTTATGCACCAAATCAACTCAGCGAATTCATAGCACAACTTGTTTCGAAAGGAATCAATGATGCTACAGCTACTGTTGGTGCCGGAGCAAAAACTTACACAATAAAATTTCCAAATGATTCACCACCCCCATTATCAGTCATATCTAAATTGGATAAATTCAGTGAAACTATAAATAAATTATTTTTAAGGCATAAACTTGATAATCATGCTCTCATAGATGCCGATGGTATTGTGATTGATCTTTCAGCCAACTGTCAACATAAACATGTTTCACTTAAATGTCAGATTGTTGAAAAAAATTATTTATTACATGTTTATTTTCATTTACCAGACGAAGAAGTAACAGAATATTATGCAAAGAATGATACCCTTATTGAAACGATTATAGTCAAACTGCTTACTAATTATTCAACGAAAGTCGATATATTAAATGTTTGCTTTACAGATCACTATGGACGCCGTCTGAATTGTGGTTCAATTGATAATATTCCTCGAATATCCGATACTAATGATATTCATATTAATGTAGAACCAAAAGAAGCTTATCTTTTGCAACTCAGTATTATAAAACCGTCTTCTTTTGGAAATGATAACATTTCGAACTTATTTGTATCAACAACTAAATGGCAACAATTATACAATTATATAAAACATGAATCAGAACTTCGTACTGAATTGTCCACAACTGATTTTTGTTTTTGGAATAGAAAACAAAATCATTTAATCGATAATTTACTGACAAAAATACTGATATCTGAGGGCAAATATGATCAACACGAAGTCAGTTTCTTAATCGATGGCATTTCCAATGATGACGTGATAAAAGTTTGTATAGAATTTGACTCTGAAACCATCATGATTTATACTCTTACGTCAGTTTTACTGAGTACCATGCTTGAAAATGAATATCTAAATCAACGAAATCTGTCCGTTGATGATATCACAGTCATGCATAATCACGATATTATTCATAATTTTCAACAACCATTATCCAACTTTTTATTCAAAGATTTAGATCACACAGATGGTGATACGGATACAACAGAAAAACAGTCGGACGTTGATCTACTTTCATTTCAGTTATGTACATTGGTTACTATCACCTTATTACAAAATCAGCGAACTGTGCAAATTCCTTTGAAAACCAATAGTATGTCAGTATCAAAGGTTATTCAATATGTATGTGAAAAATTAAAATTAAATGAAAATGATAAATTTTATTTAGCTACAAGCTTGATGGATATGGTTGATAGAAATTCTCCTTTAGAAAATATCAATGAAAGGAAATTTTTTCTATTAAAAGAAAATGAAACATGTTTAATATCAATTAGAAAAGATGAAAATATTGAATTATTGATCGATATATCTGATACAAGCAACTATTTTTATGATGAGAAGAGAATGGGTCGTACGACAACAATTGCCACCGTACGAGAAGTTTTCAAAATTCAATCGGATCAGAATCTTATGTGTGATAATGATTTTGTACCATCGACAGAAACTGTAATTACAACATTATTGCTACCAAATGTAACATCACTCACTTTCACTGTAGATAGTAGTAAACGTTTTCCACTTCAAGTTACTTTAACAAAGAATGAAAAGTTCCTGATTAAACTTAATTGTTCCGATAGTATAACATGTGAACGACTATGCGAAATCGGCTGTTTAGTTCTACGAGAAGATTCAACGTTGTACGACTTATATTTATCCCAGTGTCTATTAGACAAATCAATTACACTTAATGAAATAAACGAAGCGAATGAGTCAAATGTTATAAGTAATGTTAATGAATTTAATCTCGTTTGTACTGCTCAGACAAATTGCTTAGTCGATTTTAACCTCGATAATGATAGTATTAGTGGTATTCAAATTCCATGTGAAGCCTCAATGCCAGCAAAATATGTATTTGAAACAGCATTAAGAAAATTAGATCAACAACAAGAACAGTCTGAATTAGCACTCTACTACGAAAACGATATCTACACCGAATTAGATCTCACAATTGAAGAATTAATAAATGCATTACCACCCGAAAGATCTGTTGGAGAAATACTTCGATTTACAATTAGAAAATGACAGATAGTATATTTAATCATTATTTGTTTTCGTTTTACATACTTTCTATATTAAATAATTTTTGCTATCAAAAGAATATCGACTGTGAGAACAGACAATATACTAACCAGAATGAACAACATTTTGGTCTTCATCATTTGATGCTTCATCCCATAGGATGCCGAATATAAAAGGATATCTGCTTGACTTTTCCAAATAACACAATATATTTATATTACTTTCTGGCTATGTGAGCATATTGATATATGATATACGGGTGCAGAGGGCTGATATACTTTCCCGAAAAGGCAGAAAGTCAGATAAGCAGAAAATCTCGCTTTCAAGCATATAGAGAAGATTCATACTTTCCTCAGAAGGCAGAAAGTCAGCAAATATCGTTTTCGAGCACGTAGAGAAGGCTTATACTTTTCTCAAAAGGCCATTGGTAAGAAAATCTGATAATATCTCTTTCAAGTATACATGCTGCGAATTGGCAGACTCTAGTAAAAAAAGAAAAAAACGTTAGTATCATTTCTATACAGCTGCACCATATCTTTAAATTATCCATCGAGACAAGAGAATTTCCTGATAAATGGAAAGTTGCTACAGTGAATCCGACCTAAAAAAAGGTTCCTAAAAGTATTGTGTCTAATTATAGACCAATATCTCTCCTTAGTATCGCCAGTAAAATCCTTTTGGCTTTAGGCCCAAGACCTCAACCATTGAAGCATTTCTTTACCTATTAAATAACTTGACAAAGAATTTGAATACACAACCACCAGTAGATACCATCGTGGTCGCATTTGACTTAGAAAAAGCCTTTGATAAGGTTTTGTTTCAAATAATTCTATCGCGTTCAGCGATGTTAGGTCTGTCATCGAATGTGTTAAAATAGTTTACTAGTTATTTTACTAACCCCTATCAGCGAGTACGTGTTGGCACTGCTTTATCTGCGCCGACGTCACTACTCTACGGGGTAGTACAAGGTTCAGTTCTTGGTGCCCTACTTTTCCTTATCTTCATAAATGAACTACCAACTGTAGTCCAATTACCAGCAGACAGCATACTTTTCGCCGATGATTGTACATTCTACTGTCCAATGGCCTCGTCAGACATGCCAACTGTATGTCAAGAGAATATTGAGAAAATATGTAACTGGTGTACCTCAAATCTGATGTCTTTAAACGCAAATAAATGTGCCTATAGATATGATGGCATGTGTATATCACATGTGTGTCTCTCTCTCTCTCTGTCACATTTCTAGAAATTCTTGAAACTTCGAAGCTTCGCGGATTTTAGAGAGGGATTATAGAACAAGGAAATTGTTTATTATTTATTAATTTAATACAAGTCATTTCCAAGGAACAAAACGAAAAACAAATCATAATCGAAAGTAAATTTCGATTCTTTATTCATTCGTGCCACTTTTCAACTTCAAAGTAACATCCCTTCTCTCCTTCTTCTTCCCTCTCTTTCTCTCTCTCTCTCTCTCTCTCTCTCTCTTTCGGAAACAATGGTTTTCACGATTTTTTATTTTTAAAAAATCATGATAAAAATTAAAGAAAATTGTGGTAAAAGTTTAAAAAATTATGATAAAAATTTAAACAGTTATGGTAAAAATGACACGTGTTTCGGTGTAAGTAACCTTTTTGAAATTGTAGAAAAAATGAATGATGTGGCAGTATATATACACAAAAGTGTATCTATACAGACAGATCTATATAACAGGAGGAAAAGCGAAAATGAATTTATATGTTAAAAGGTGACGTAATTTTTGACGGTAAAAGAAGAGGACACA